AAAATATTTGAAATTTTTTAATTATTATTCAGGAGTTAAGTTATTGGTATATTTATACATAAAATTTAAGTGTTGGTAAATATTTATTTGATATATGTTCATCATTTTAAGTTTTGTTGGTTGACAACTTGCCCACGTAATATTTTAATTGGTAATGTAACAACAAATTGAGTAAAATTATATAAGCTTTAGACATTCGATACATAATACCAATGGTTTTACTAATTTTTGGTTGTATATATATTTTATACGTGGAGGTCATAATAAACATTCATCCACATTCATTCCTAAAAACTTTAGAGTATAATTATAGTTTGATTCAATCGGACTTTCTATTTCATGCCAAGTTTCTTACATAGCAATGACGTCGAACGTGTAATTCTAAATTATCTAAAAATTCTTTAAATTTTTTAAAGTTTTGACGCATACCTCTAATATTTAAATGTATTTTTGAAATATTGTTACAAAGGTAAAATTTACCGGAAAATTTTGAATCAAATTTTACCAGAAAATTTACATCACTAATAGAAAAAGAATATCTTTTTTAGTTTTAAAATTATAAGGATGAAGATGGAGAAAAAATCATGTTAAAATACTTTAGATATTACTAGGTAAAATATGTATGAGAAAATCTACTGTAAGAATCACAGCATGGTCAGTTTTCACCATCTGTTTTATAGCTAGTTACAATTGTCTTTTTTAGGTCTTAGAATTATAAAAGCTGTAAGGAACACAAACTACTTTTTTTAAAATCTTTATCACTTTTTAGTTATATGATTTGACCCCGGACATTGTCGTATATTGTTGGATTTGTGACAAAATGTAGATTTACCAAAATCAGATTTACGAAATGTAGGTTTACCAAAATCACAAAATTCCTTTAACCAAAATACTTACGTAAATACAGAGCTATAAAAACCAATTTATAAATTTCGCCCCAATTGTGATCATTAAACGAACCGAAAAAAGAATTTGTTATTTTTGTGTACACAAAACATCAAAACTATAACATTTTTATGTTATTGTCACCAAAGTATAAATTTATTAATAAACTACATCTCGTTGTTGTCACAAAAGTATAAGAAATTTATTAATAAACAGCATCTCGATTAAGTTATACAATAATTAACGTCGTTGACACGAGTTTGTATTTTACCATTCTCGACGTTAGTATTATCTTGTTTATCTCCACATTTTTGAGTTTTGAGATAAACGATTTAAGGTGGTAGAGCTAGAAAAAATATGTAAAAAATTTTAAAAAATCGTTTTTTTTTTTATTTTTTATTTTCGAAGGAAAATTATTTAGCTTTCATGTATTGAAAAAAGTTTTTTTAAAAAATTATTTCTTATTTAGTTTTTAAGGCTTTTATGTAACTACATACAACGACTAGTCCTTAGTTACGCCCTTAGCAACGGTAAACAGTTTTTTACTTTGATACCTTTCCTTAAAGCAAAACAAGATTTATATCATACACAGATAAACGTGCAATTGTTAAAGGTCATTAACTTAAGGAACATAGTAAATTTTGGCAGTTTTTTGAAGCAACTTTAATGCATGCTGTTTAATTCTGATGTTATAAACCTTTTCAGATTTCACCTCAAGTATTATAAATAATGAGTACTTCAAGAAATAACATTAAAGTATCTAATAAGCAAAACTTTGGACGAAAAAAGAAAAGATTTTTTCATGGAAATCGTTATACAATTGCAGCAGAAAGACTACAGAAAATCAATCTGAATATTGTTCCAGCTTCAAGTTGTGCAAGTGCAAGAAAATTACTGACACTGATAAATAGAAATCAAGTTGTAAATGACAAAGTGAATAAAGACTATTTTATACTTATCAATTTTTCAATTTTAAGTGATATCGTGGAAGATGTTAGATGTCCAGATTGTTACAGCCTTGTTACCATTGTTGATAATCTTTCTAAGCGCATGGGTTTTGCCCATCACCTTGAAATCAAGTGTAGTTTATGTGAATGGAAAAAGGTTTTGTATTCTTCTAAGCAGATTAGTAAATTTAGTGGAAATACAGCCCAGAGTAGGAAAACATTTGAAGCAAACACAAGAATGATAATTGGATTTAGAGAAATAGGTAAAGGGTGTCAATCTATGAAAAACTTTAGTCGCTGTATGAATTTACACTGTTTGACAGCTACTCCATTTAGAAAACTAAATATAGAAATATCAAAAGCTTATGATAAAACTGCTAAAGAAAGTATGAGGCGTGCCACAAATGAAATGAAAGATAACTATACTGATAATAATAAACCAATAATCAAGCATGTTAAGATTGATGGTACATGGCAACGACGCGGCCATACCTCCCTTAATGGGTTTGTAAGTGCAATTGTGGGTGATAAGTGCGTTGATTATGAAGCAATGTCAAAATTTTGCATGGGCTGTGGAATATGGAAAAATAAAAAAGCTTCACCATGATACAATGCTTGGAAAACTCAACATGCGTGTCATATAAATCATAAACAATCTTCTGGGTCAATGGAAGCAGCTGGTGCTGTAAAAATATTTGCACATTCAATTAAAAATAACAATATTATTTATACTCATTATCTTGGAGATGGAGATAACTTATCTTTTAAAGAAGTAATAAAGTCTGATCCCTATAAAGACTATAAAATAATTCCTGAAAAGTTAGAGTGTGTTGCACGTGTACAAAAAAGAATGGGTACACCGTTACGAAATTTAATCAAAAGTTACAAAGGAAACCCAACTCCACTAGGTGGAAAAAATAAACTGACAGAAAATGTGATTAATAGTATGCAAAATTTTTATGGTTTAGCTATAAGAAGTAATACAAATAACATTTATGCCATGAAAAAGGCAATATGGGCTATTTTGTTCCACTGTACTGGATATTCAAATTAAGAGTTTCGCCACTGCTTTTGCCCAAGAACTGAAACTAGTTGGTGTCAATATCAGTATGACAAATTACATAATACTTCAAACTATAAAGAACATATTAATTTACCATTATGGATTAGTAACCTTTTGAAACCAGTGTTTAAAGATCTTTCAAATGAAGAATTATTGTTAAAATGTGTACATGGGCAAACCCAAAATGCAAATGAAAGTCTTAATGCGTTGGTTTGGTCTCGTTGCCCTAAAACATATTTGTTTGTAAACAAACTTTTGAAATGAGTATTAATTCAGCAATTTTACACTACAATGATGGTACTGAAGGTGTTAAAAATGTTTTACTTTCATTTGGACTATCAGGCGTTGTTACAAATTCTAAATCTTATGAACAAAATGTTTCACGTGTAAAGAGCATGGAGATCAAGTCAAGTGAAAAAGTAAAAAATAGCAGAAAAAGTCTCAGAGCAATAAAAAAAAGATACTCTGATAAACAAAGTCAAAATAAAACATCATTTTATGTATCAGGAGGGTTTTAAACATATTGTATATATATATTTTAAACATATTACAACTTTATTTTGTGTTTTATTGAACTTTGATTTTTTGCAAGATTTTGTAACTTCAAAACCAAATATCTTAAGTTAGAAAAATTCAATTTACTTGAAATTTTCACAGTATCTTCAGTATACATATAAAGTTCATTTGAACTAAAATCTTATAATAATTAAATGTATTTATTGCTTATTATTTGTTTTTTATTCTCAATTTGGTATTTTTTTTTTAACGCATACATAATAAATTATGTATATTTTTTTATTCTATTAAGATTCAATGTCATTTTAGTTCAAATGAATTATCTATTGTTGAAGAACAAACCTACAAAAATTCATTGTGATTTGTTGATTATATTTTGTGATATTGTATTTTAAAATTTCCTTATTTTTTGGTTTATTTTTTTATATAAGTATGGGTAGGCGAGGCAAATTAATAAAAAAAAATTGTCAAATGATTTTTAACATGAATTCAAACTTTTTTAGAAGTTCTTGGGAAAAAATAATAGTTTTTAAAAGAATTAGGTTTTTTCTAGTCCTACCACCTTAAAAAATAAAAACTTTAGGAGACGGCACATAAATTTTTTTTTAAAACTTGCTTTCTCCGCAACTTTTTTACTTATAATTTAGACTTCAATTCAGTAGAAAGACATTACTTTGAGGTACACAACACTATTATTAACTAAATTTTTTCAAAAAATGTAAATAGAACAAAGTAATTTTAACGTCGCAAAATGATACAGTCATATCCAAATGATATATCCAATGTTACGACCGTCTCATCTTGGGTAAAGACCTTAAATGGCTAGAACGTTAGAAAAATTAATATTTTTATTTTATAGATTTATGTAAGATATAATAATAGCAACAAAAAATTTATTTTTAAACATTTAGGGTAAAAAATTCCGCAACCTTTAAATGTGCGGTTTTAAGGGCCCCTAAAAACGTGAACATTTTGGTAAACGGAATTTTGTGACTTTGGTGACATAAAACTACTCATGGTAACAAATCCAACAGTACATAACAATGTCCTGAGTCAAATTAGAAATCAAAAAGTGGTTAAGGGCGTGTTATTTTTAAAATATTTTGAACACTGAAAATCACAAAGTTTGGTAAAAGTATATAGTTTAATATAAGTACTTTAATGAACACAATTCGATTTTAAAAAATCATATTTTTTGTAATTGTTATTTGATTTTTTATATAATTATTCAATTTAAATTTTATTATTAAATAGGCTTTTTGATATGCTTCGATTTTAACAAACGCGCACATGCATCACTTTCAAAACTAGCTAATCAGATTGTGCATATCTCCGTCTATTCTAAGCATGTATAAGGTTTCAAAATGCGCTGGTGCGATAAGCATGCTCATTTAAAATCTCTAAAAATCTAGAGTTTTACATAAACAATGAAGAATAAAAAGACCGCAGCTGAACACAATAAAAATGGAAATAATTGGTTATTACAGAATTAATAATATCGGATGCAGATCAAACCTTTTGTTTAAAATTATTGGATGGCTTCAGAATAATTTTAAAATATTTTAAAATAGTTTTATAAGACTTCAATCTCCGCTTACTAGATTTTATAAACAACTTTTTAAAAAAATACAATTATCTCATCGAGCTTTTACCGAAGCGGCGTAGCTGCTGACAATTCGATTAAAATCTTCTTCCTAAAAAATTAAAATACATAGTTCATTCATATTTATATTTTATATATCAATTATAAATTATTTAATATAATAATGTATAATATAACGTTAACATATAACGTTTTAATTTATTTTTTATATCAACATTACAAACTTTTTAAAATTAATTTAATTTCTAATTTTTTTAACAAAATTATCAAATTCATAGTTTTCTAACTTGAGGTATAAAACTGCGTATATGAATAAATTAGTGCTGAATAATTTTTTAAAAAGCATTTTAAAAAAATTGGTAATCAGAAAATAAAGCATTAACATTTGTTAATAACTATAAAAATGCTTCAGCTCATAGGTCATCCAGGTCATATTTTAAAAATCATTAGGGTAAAATATCCGGAAAAAATCGGGAATATATTTTCCCTTATATTCGATTTAATTTTGGTTTCAGCTAAGTTGTTTTTAATCTTTTTTTAACTTTTCTTAATTTCTGTGTGAGTGATGAATGAAAAAGCCTAAAAAATAAATACATTACAAAAATATATTCCTAAACTTGTATGTATGGAAAAGATTTTTGATATCCGGAAAAACTAAAAGTTGAGAAAAATATCCGGAATTCCGGAAATCACCGGAAAAAGATGATCCCTGTCAGTTAACACCGTATATTAAAGTAACACCGTAATAAAAGTGCATTTAAATATATCATCATATATAAGCTACATAACACTGCATGAAATTGCATATATATAAATGAATATAAGTTAACATTGTAATAAAGCTGTATATAAAAATTCGATTGGTTTATAAAAAGATAACTGCTTGTGTCAAACTAACAAATAGTCATTTTATGAGTTGAAGATTTGCAAGTCGAACAATCATTCAACTGCAACAAAAATATCAATTTGCAAATTGCCAAAGAATCCAGAGAAGAGAGAAATGAAAAAGATAGAGCAATGCCATACTAAAAACTGTTTTTTTTTCTGGCTATACAGTATGTTGACTGTATTGGCAGATGGTACACTTTTTAAAAACAAATATGAGAAGCCAGAAAAATTAAGACCACCATCAGTTTGTAAAAATATTCTGTTTACCCACACCAGGAAGTAATGTTAGAAAAACTGTAAACTTCAAGCGGTTTTTCGAAATACCCTACTAGAGTATTTCAAAACACCGAGTTACATCTTTTTCTCAAAGTTGATAAACTTTAATTCAACAACATTCAATTTATGTTCAGTAATAAGAACAATTTTATTGTTCTTATTACTGAACATAATTTGAATTCCAATTTTTTTAAAAAAAGTTTACACATACAATTGAAAATGTACAAACTTGGTGTTTGATTATTTCTTTGAGAAATTTTCGATGATTATTGATATTTGTAGGTTACCATAACAACTTGTAATATTTTATCTTTAACTGCAAACAAAAAAAAAATTGATAAAAAAAAATTAGCTATATTTGAAGCGGTTAGATTTTTAAAGAATTATTTTGTGCGCTTTAATGCGAAGATATTGAAGACAAAGTTTTTTATACTGTAGATATTATATGTAGAGCATAGAAACATTATGCTATGTGAAAAAGTTCATATTATTGTTTGTGTATTGATTAAAAATTGCTAAGTACACAAACTTTAACACGATTGACCTCAAAAAATAGCTAATTGAACCTAAAATTCATAAGTAGTATTTTTATGAGTTTAAATCGATTGGAAAGAACATCCATTATTTTAAATGATAAGGTTGTCAAAACTTTATGACTTTACAAAAAGGTACTTTGTTTGCCCTGCAATAGAAATACCTGAAATGCTATCAACAACAATTTTATCATTTACAATTTAATATCTTTTTTGAGGTCCGGAATTTATATGCAAAGCAAATATTTATATATAGGAATTTATATGTAGAGCAAATTTATATGTATATGCAAATATATTCTTTGAATTTTAGTTTGCACAAATGTCAACAAATTATTGATACAATAATTTTAATAAGAGTGAAGACACTGGTAATAATTACTGATGGTAATTGTGTAAATCAACGATTTGTAAAAATGTGTAAGGTTTAATAGTAAACCTTGGTCAACAACATCAGGTTTTATGCTTCTCTTTTAAGCCTCTCTTAACTCTCCAACTTCAAATCACTACTACTGTATTTATTTGACATAATGAAAAATTTACACACCACTTTTACTACTGTATTTATTTGACATAATGAAAAATTTACACACCACTTTTACTACTGTATTTATTTGACATAATAAAAAATTTACACACCACTTTTACTACTGTATTTATTTGACATAATGCAAAATTAACACACCACTTTTACCACTGCATTTGCTTGACATGATGAAAAACAAAATAAGAGATGATAAAAAATATCAAAACATGATTAATGAAAAATTTCAGGGAAAAATTGAAAATATAATTTTATAATATCATTGAAAATATAACGAACTAAAAATTCCTAAACTCCAAGCCTAGGCTTTACTAAAAATATCATTAATAGATGCAAAATTAGTACGAAATTGAAAATGTAAAAAATAGTGAAATGGCACTACCAAAAAAATAAAATGAAATAGCACTACTAAAAATAAAGATAAAAAATCACAGTCTTTTCAAGATAGCAAAGTTGCATCTGTATGTCTTAGACAAAATTTAGACAAAAGGAATTAATTTTCTGACACAACATTGAGTGAGTCACAAGCAGTTAGAGATTGCAATACCGGTTTGCATATTTTGAAACCCTATACAGGCTCAGAATAGGCAGAAATATGAGCAATCTGATTTGCTGATTTTGAAAGAGAGGCAAATGCGCTTTATTTAAAAATAAATTTTAAATCTAAACAGATTTTGAAATAAATTTCATAGTAATGATGAACTAAGTTTATCAATACAAGTCTTGTGTTACTATCAACATCTATTTGTAACAAAATCTATTTGTAACAGAGAATTTTCACTCGTAAAAATCTCAAAGTTTCAATAAAGTTCATCTTGGTGATGGAGGTTTTATCTGTTGTTAATTTAAAGAAATAGAAAAAAGTGTAATTCAAAAAGATCTTGTGCTTATTCTTATAATTATTTATATCCTTGTTGAATTTAGTTATGTTTATACTAAAACTAACCTGTTTGTATATGTTGGCTTAGAATTAATTATAGACTATTTAATTTACTACACTACAGATCTATAAATTTATTTCTCACAAAATATGTTCTTGGCCTTAAAGCATACTCAAATACAAAGTTTATATACAGTTGTACAAGACTACTTGTGAAGTACTTTTGCATATGAAGATTATATGCAGTTTTACTAGACTACTGATGAACAACTTTATTTATAAATTGATTTATACGTTAATTATAAAGAGTTAAACATTAGAGTTTTAAAATAAAGAAAATTTGTACTGATTGCAAAACTAGCTTACATGTTCCATGTCAATATATGAGTTTTGAGGAGATTTTGTTTTCATGTTTTGTTTCAACTATTGTTTGGAGGAGACTGATTTACTTTTTATTGCATAACTCTAATAAAACATCATCTTAAACCATTAAACACTTTTTTAAAATTTTAAAAAAATTTTGGCAGGCAATATTAACTGTATGTGTAAAATATTATTTGAAAGTTTAACAACAGAAGTGAAATTTATATGTTTGTTTGCTGAACAGTAATTTTTTGTGAAGTTACATATAAACAATAAAATTAAAAGCAAGAAAAAGTATTAAAGTCAAATATATTTTTTTAAAATATCTTCGCTTCCAACACTTCGCACAACACGCAAGCAACCACTAATTAGTGTTGGAAGTTACTGGAAGAGAAAAAATGAAGATTGTAGAGCAAGATAACGATTGACAGACGACTTAAAAGATTGCAAATTATATGAATCAGCAAAGCATGATGAAGGAAGCGAATTCCAAAGAAATGAAGTTTGAGTAAAAAAACTAGACGAATAAGAGTTTTTGGAGCACTTAGGAACAGTAACAGTAAAATATGTTAACCAAATAAAAAAAACAGTAACAGAAATATATGTTAACCAAATGAAAAAAAGAACAAAATCAATTGTTATGCTATGATTATTTTTGTTATAATAAAGTATGTTTTGTATGTATAAACTCTTGAAATATTTAACTTGAATTTGCATGTGGGCAATTTTGCAAGATTTCTAAGTGTGTTTTTTGTCAAATGTAATGTCTATGTTCTATAAAGCATGGTCAATACAAAGTTTATATACAGTTGCACCAGACTATTGGTAACGTACTTAAAGTATGCAAAGTATAAATTTTCAGCTGAGGCAGAGGTTGTTCTATGCTCGTTACTGCATCTTTACACTGTCTTGTTAATTATAAATAGTTAAACATTTAGATTAAAAAAAAAAAAATATTACAGATATTTTACTAAACTAGCTTACATGTTCCATGTAAATCTACGAACTCTGAAGAAGTTACTGTTTAACCTCAATATTGAGAAGGCTGATAAGACGTACATCAATATTTTTCTTTACTTAACTTTAATAAAACATCATCCTTAAACCTTCAAACACTTTGTGAAAAATTAAAAAAAGTTTGGCAGGGTGTTTTAAGTTATATATATAAATAGGATGAAAATTGTATATTAATAATCTATTGGAAAATTTAACAAAAAAAAGTGATATTTATTTGTTTTTCTACTGAACAGTTCTTTTGTTCAGTTACATTTAAGCGTTGATAATACAAGCTAACAAAGAGAATTGAAGTTAAACAATTTAACCAAATTAGGGTGAATTATGGCAATTATTGTTATAAAAAAAACTTGATCAAAACAAGCTTTTACATTTGAAGAAGCAAGTTTTCAGAAAGAAAAAAAAATATTACTTCAAGATAAAACATAACACATCTCTATTTTTAAATTATTATACAAGAGGTATTCACAGAAATTCAAAAAAAGCACACTTGATTTTATTGGTTATTCCAAAGATTACATAATAAAACTGTTAATAAAATTTGGAAACATGAAAGATAAATATTTCTGCCTAAAAAAATGAAAAAAAAAAGT